CTCACTTCAGGAGAGAGTGGAACGTAGCCTCAAACCATGGGAGTGCACCCACAGTCAGTGAAAAACACAACCATAGAATTACACAGCACAGAAGGAGGCCATTCGGCCCATCATGTCTGTGCCGGCATAAATAAGAGTTACAGATAGCTTGGTAACAGAAGGTCAGTGACACAAGGGAATGTGGCATCTATTGCCTTTGGCTGCACAGTTGGATCCCGCTTTCTGGTTAGGGGTATGTGAGAGGCAGTTCCACACGAGGGAGGATGGGACATTTAGACTCTCCTGGGCAAACCCAGCATTCATGAACATAAATACTCCACTTCTCTCCTCTCCATTACGTCTTCAAAACCATTGTCGTTTATTTATACATTTGTCAGGAGGATAAGTTTAAAAAACGATTCAGCAAATATCAGAGACTAAAAGTTAATGTATGAGCACACATGCACAGGTCATGGTTTACAATCATGGTTGTACTTTGAGGGATATGGATGAAAAGCCAGCAGATTTTAAATGAACCAATTGATATTTAGAATGGGATTTGTGGACCGTGAAACTGTACTCTTAATAAAAGAAGCACGCTTTCCTGTGTTAATAAACTACCTGCCTTTTTAAACTTATGTTTTTCCCACAAATTTCTTCTCTCCCCCTCGTTTCTGAAAATTGTCCTCATTTGCCTGGCTCAGTTGGTAGCACTCGAGTCAGAAGGTTGTAGTTTCAAGCCCAATGTCAGGGCTATGAACTCACAGTCTAGGCCAACCTAATGCATTGATGGAGAAGTGCTGCATTGGTTGAAATTCTATTCAACAGAAGAGACATTAAACAGAGGTCACGTCTGCCTGTCCAGGTGGACGTTAAAGATCCCATGGCACAATTTGAAAAGAGAAGAGTTTTGCCTGGCCAAGAATCCCCTAGATATATAAATTGGCTCAACAGGTGCAGTTTTTAGGTAAAACCATTTGAATGACGTTCTCCCACAGCATTTTGAAACCCTACATATCTCTTTTGAAGGCTGAAAAGCTCTAGTATGTTGAGTCGTTCCTCACAGATTAATACTAACATTGGGGATGAGCCTTGTTGCTCTCTTTGCCACTGCCTTTTGAGCCTTTATGTCCCAGCAGCCAAATCTGTACTTGATTCTCTAGACCTATCTTTATAGATACTTGTACATGTTTTTGTATTATTGTGACCCAAGAATCAATTGGTTTTTTTTGCGGGTATATTCAGCAGTTCTCAGCATGGCCATTAGATGGGGCAAGTTACTTTAGGGAAACCAACTCCTGACAAGGGCATTCCACTCACCAGTAGCCCTGGTGTCTGTCTGACCCAACCAAGGTCAAAATGTGTCCCGGGGGCAAAGCTTTATTCTTGGCTCATGGGGAGGATATGTGTGTGTGTGAGGGGGGGGGGGGGGGGTTAGGCTTTATTGGAGGAGAATGGTGGTAGCCAAAAATAAAATATATAACTAAACAACTCTGCAAAGCAGGTATGTCATTTTCACGTCCAATTACCCAGACAGCTGAGTCAACAAATCAGCATTGTGTTTCAAATCTCCTGTTGTTAATCTAGCTCTTATTAATCACTGTGCTGACTCATGGAAGTGTTTGTAATGTTCTGTTTCAACTAAGTAAACAAGCTGAATCCAGGGACCAACATTTTCAATTCCCAACTGATTCAGAAGTGTAATCAAAACAAAAAGAGAATTACTCAAACACGAGCTCTCCAGTTTTCAACATTCCCCCCACCCCTGATGATTTCATCCTCACAAAGTTTATGTGTGGGGTCTCAGTGCTTTTTTAAAAATATAACAACTGCTGAAGGGTTATGTGTACACATCAGTCCTGTGCAACTTTTTTCATTGCTCATTCTACAAATACATACTCACACAGACACAGAGTTACATACACACACAAACAGCTATTCACTTATTAGGATCCAATCAGACTGTCGCTCATCCCCTCCTCTGCCCAAAGTCTGTCACCATCGGCCCCCACAGAGTGTTGAGATTACATCCCCACCCACCTCCCCCAGACTGTCTTCTCTTCAGCAAAAGTGGTAGCCTCAAACTCATTACATTTTCCCACCATGGCTTCACAAAGAAACTTTCAGCTCCATCTCCTTTTATGCACAACTTTGCAGAGGTTTCTCTTTCCAGAGGTCCCATCCAACAAGAATTCCCACTATTATTCAGATCAACTTGACAAAGAATACTCCATCCACACAAGAATAATGTGATTTGTTCAAGTGGCTATTCACCTTTGTGAGTCTGGACAGTGACTGAGTTAGGGTATCACGGTAGAGTATAATCACAGTGTGATGTGTACTATCTCAGCATCATCTGTGCTTTAAGGAGCATGTACAAGGAATTTAAGAGTGGTCATTTCAAATAACACTACTCTTGAGTTCAGCACGGAAAATCAGATCAAGTGAGTGAAGCAAAAATCAAATTCTGTGAAAAATGTGTCTGCTTGGAACTACATCTCTGGTTTGTTTCCGTGAAGTCAGATTTCAGTCAGAGGAGGCTCCTGCTCCTGGCAGGCAATTTGCGCTTGAGTGAAGTTCCAGCAGATTGGCCCAACACACATCCAGGTACCTGCAGTGCCCGCTATTTGTTAATCAATCTGCAAATCTCCAGACTGGACTTGAGGTTCACAAATTGATTAACAATTGACCCCACTCCCAGCACACTCTTAGCCACATTATAGTAAATACCGTGAAATGCTGGCTCTCTCACAATGGGAAGCGTTCAGACCTTGGCTCAATTCCCAGTCTCTCTGCAGCACTGTGCAGTAGAAACTCATTCTGCATTGACAACTTTTCAGAACATCTTTCCGATAAGTTTCCAAACTGAGGTTGTCTGTTTCCTCAGGTGGACGTTAAATGACACCATAGCACTTCTCGAAAAGTTCAAGGAAGTTTCTCCCGGTATCCTGGCTAACTACCCTCCAAAATGTTTGTGGGTCATTACCGTGTGCTATGTTGGCCTATAAAAATACAATCACTACACTTTGCAGTATATTCTGTGAAGCATTTTGAAATGTTTTGACAGAGTGGTAGTCACTATATCAAATGCAACAATGATTATAATTATTAAACAGGAAATCCAAGAGATTTTTATATTTGTTGGAAGGAATGTAAGTGCAAAGCTGTCACAGGTCTGTGTTTAGCTTTGTAGATTCATAGATATTTATAATAATAATCTTTGCAGTTGATATAGCGCTTTTCACGTTTTCTAGACGTCTCAAAGCGCTTCACAGAATATGCTGTAAAGTGAATTATATTTGTGGGTGAAACCCACAGAAGGAGGCATTTGAATCTCCAACAGCTCACAGAACAAGGTGTTCAATCAATCCCACTGCTCTGCCTTAACATCATAACCCTTCAAGCCTCTATCCTACATATACCTCTCTACTTCCCTCTTGAAACCCACAATAGACTGTCTACCACCTCACTTGGCCGGACAATCCACACTCCAATTCTCTGAGTGAAATTATTTCTCTCCTTTCACTCTTCTTGTGACTGTCTTATAAGTACACCACTAATTACTTTCACAGCAGATTTAGAGGGCCTTCTTGCTGTGAAACTGCTCATTTGCAAGTTATTAGAACTTCGGAGCAGAACAGAAGTTTTTTTGTGTTTTTCTGTGGTCTGGAAAAATCCCATATTAAAACTCACTTTCTGCAGTGCAGTGTATGGGGTGCCGACAGCTCTCGGGTATTGTCTAAGTGACCATTCTTCATGTAGCCGGCCTGTACCACCAACCCTCACCAGATGTCCCACACATAATATTAATAATAAAAATAATTGTTGCATTTGATTTAGTGCCTTATCACATCTTCGAGACGTCTCAAAGCGCTTCATAGAATATACTGTAAAGTGAATTGACTGGATTTTTTTTAAAACACTACTTCAGTGAGTGAGTAATAAACTTATGGATCAGGCTCGCTAGAAAGACAGTGGAAGCAGAAAATGTTGCTTGTTTCAAGAACAAATTAGATAAGATTTCTGCCAGAAAATAATATTTCGGGTAACAGTATATAGTTTGGGACACGACATGTCAAGCGACTGCCAGGATGGTGGAAGGCGAACTACATGGACTTTGGTCTTCTTTTGCCTAGCAAATTCTTGTGTTCTTATGGATATTTTGCTGGCGAAACATGACAACCAATTGCGCACACCAGTGTCCCACATACAGCCGTGGATTGAGTGACCAAATTATTATTATTTTTTATTTTATTTATTTTTGATGGGATTATTACGCCCGGAATAGCAATCCGCCAATTGACTAACAACTGGATTCCTACTTAGTGCTAGGTAAACAGAGGCAAGAACATAGGAAACTTGCCTAAGGTTTCACCCTGCTTGGGAATCGAACCCGAGTCCTCTCACTTGCAAGGCGAGTGCTCTAACCAAAACCCTACAGGATTCCACAACATCCATCACAGGTCACTGAGTTAGTGATCAGGAGTGCAAATCCTGGTTATGGTTTTAACTCTCTCTAGTCCACAGGCAGTATTTGAGAATACTTGTTCACTTTATGGAGTTATTCTTCTCTCCTTGCTGGATAACACATGGTTACCTCTAATTAAGAATGAGGAAGCTACTCAGTTCCGACAAAGGGCCAAAACATCAACATTTCTTTACATTGCACACTTGCCTCAGAGCACAAGAAAAAACGTAGGTGGGCGCATTGCAGCCCATAGGAACACAACATCAGCGATAGGTCATCGAAACTATTTTGCCATTTTATAGATTATGACGCATCTTTTATTCCTGTTTCCTCACCTTTTCTCAGATTCCATAATACCGTTTCTTCCAAAACGTCCACATCCTTTTTAAACATCCCAATTGATTCTGCATCTACAGCATTCTGGGCAGTGTATTTCACATTTCTATGACCCTCTGTGTGAAGAAATATTTTCTGATCCACAGGACATGCAGACAGAACTAATGCGCTATACATTACTGAGAACAGCAGCTGATTTTAGTGCGAGGTGACTGACCTTGCCCTCATCTACAAGTGCCACTATCTCATCCAGCGATGGACCACTTGGTGCAAAAAAGCCCCAGCGATAATGCACACCGTTCCTCAGATGCTAAACGATAAAGAAAGGGAGAGAGAGTAAGGATTTAATATGATATGAAATGCTTATTTATTTTCATACAACGACCGAGAAAGTTGTTGAAATTAAATGTTAACAATCCTTGAATGATTCCATCTTTAACCCGAAGAATGATCAAAACATCAAACATCCACTTATCGCGACCAAAACTTCAACTAGGACACAAACAAGGTTTAAGTGTTACAGGTACCATTCCCAACACTGAGATTGGACAGTGCTATCAGTAAGGTAACAAAAACCTTGTCCCAGACTTGGGTCAGAATTAAAAATATTAAAATGAAATTAAATCAAAAGACATTCAACAATGGAAATCTAGTATTTACATTCGAGAAGAGAACCAAATTAGGTGGGTAGCTTCCTCATTATTTAACTGCTGGAATATACACCAGGTACAACCCTTGACTGGGCCTTAAAAACAATAAAATAATCTTTGTATTTGATATTGTGCCTTTCATGTCAGGAGGACTTCTCAAAGGATTAACGAGATTTACTGTAAAGTGTAGTGACTATTTTGAAGGCGAACGCGGCAGCCAATTTGTGCAAGGTAATGTCCCACAAACAGCCAGGAAATGAATGACTGGTTTTTAATTTGGGAATTGTTGACCAGGAAATGGGGAAAACTCCCTTTCATTATTCAGTAATGCCATGGGATCTTTATGGTTTTTAAAGTCTTGTCCGAAGGATGGAGATCTTTTTGGGGTGCCCCACAATGTTTTCTTAAAGTAACGGAAATACTAGATTTCCATTGTCTTTACCCCATATCTGTGCCATTTCACAAGAGAGTGGTTGTTAAATCTTCTGTTGGAATATAATGTAGCAACGTTTCAATCACAGGACTGTGGGGGCGCGGGGGGAGACTGGGAGAGAAGAGAAATTAATTTTTTCTTCAGAAGTGACTGCAAAGCCTGGAGGCACTACTCTATAAATAATCTGTATGCACCTTCAATGTGGAAAAATATATAAATCAATCGATCATCAAAGGTCTTTAGGTTGGTTGATAAATCGTGTGCTACTTTAGATTTCTACTTTAAAAAACAACGTCTCCTCACTAAATGTTAAACGGTGAAGGACAGAATGAAGAAAGGTTCAGTCTCAATGCAGCCAAAGGCACAAGTAAATATCACATGCTTCTCCTTCTAAATAAAACCTCATACATCTTGGGATCTTATTTATTAACATTCTAGCTTTCGCTTGTTGATCAAATGAAAACATTCATGCAATGGCACAAACCTCCCTTGTCCAATCTGAGGTCATTTGTTATCAGTGGTTAAAGATTCCGTGAGTGCAACACACTAAGCAACGATGGCCAAGATTAGCCTGAGGCAGTGCTGTCAGATGGAAAAGATGGCTGCTGGCTCTCCTCCTGAAGCTGTACTGTGCCCTCATGCTGGCTTTGTGGGTGTAAGCAAGTCTGAATGTTTTCATTCAAGTCAAGCTTTGCCACTCCGTTAAAGACCTAGGCCCGGCCAGATAGCACATTGCAGCTTCCACCTTTTTAAAATCCCTCAGACTTTTATACTTAACAAGAAAAATATATTACTTTACTTTTCAGCTCTTTGGAATTACTCAATCCCATGAACTCCAGAGAGAATCTAAGTTAGTACTTGTTGTTATGGTATTAAATTATTACGACAAGCAAAAGGTTTCTGAGGCATTTTATTACATTCCTTATCCTGGCCTGAACGTTCAGACGGTAGGCTGCGTAGTTCCAGCCTCCGGTACCTCACTATGGGGCCATCATTCATAAGAAAACCTAAATGCCAACAGACTATTTAATCGGGGGGTGGGGGGGAATTCTGACAGCCATACCCCTGTCATAAGTCCTCAAACCCTCACTTTCCTGTATGGATCACTGAATAGTCATTGGGAACTGGAACTTTGGCTAATTATTGTCTTCCCTATTGCAGAGCCCCCAAGGCCATTTGCAATCTCCTTACTCCAACTGGACAAGATGAGTTACCTCAGCACACACTCCGTTCTGGACTGAGGGACATTGTTCCGTTCCACATTGAACCTGGAACTGACCTGGCACAACAAGCAAATGGTTAATTCCCCATTTTGCTAATCAAGCTGAATTCTCTTAGTTGATTGTTAAACTCAGTGGCAATGGTGCGACATTGAGAGGGCAGTAAAAGTGCTGATGGTGACAACAGATTTAAAGGTGTATTGGCTCATGTAACTGACAGAGTGAACCTCATCCCCAGGCTGAATGCAGCCTGCGAACCAACAGTTGGACCACCTCTTTACACAAAGGAACCAGCGTGTGGAATTCAACTATATCATCCTCATGATGCTGTCACTTGATATAACGCCTTTCTCGTCATTGAGACCCTTTCCAGTAAAATCTTTTCTCAAAGCACTTCACAGGATTTTAATGTAATGTGGAGTGACTATGAAGTTGTAGGCAAACGCAGTAGCCCATTTGCGCAAAGCAATAACAAGATCTTCAGCTACTTGAATGATTTTACCTTTAACACTTTTGTGCCCACAGTCACCCCAGACCGAAGCATTCCATCAGGGACCCCCAGCCTGTCCATGTTGAGCATCAACGGAGTGATCAATGTAACGTACGTTGCTCCTGACCACGGCCTCAGCAAGCTCAAGGCCCACTTTTCTGTATCTCCGCCCACGTTATCTAAAATTAGGTCAAACCTGAAAGAAAAGGATGGATAAGTAGCCAAACCCAAACTGTCAAATACGCTGGTCAATTCCCACTGAAGAGACTGGAAGCTTTAGATATGTTCTAGGTAAGTAGAAGATCAGAGAATGAGTTAGCACTGGGAATTCATCACGCCATGAGGTATTGTGTGCAGACACTTGACCCTAGAGAAGGAGCGTCCCACCATGAGGCTTGCTGTAGAGAAAACAGATCACCTGCTCCTCTCAGGAGGTATGAGCTGTGCAGACAATGCACAGTAAAACAGGAACCTCCCCTCACTTGCCATATGAAGGAAAATGCACAGGTGGTTTCCAAGGGCACCTTTATCGGGAACGTTACTTAGGAACATTACTCAGTAACACTGGGTCAAAGAAATCCCTGGCTTTACGCTCATCTCCCAGACTTTAATATCATCAACTTAAATCAGCCAAAAATAGAGCTGATAATTTGGTTGCTTTAAGGAATTATGTTAAAGCTCAGGTGAGCAAAAAACTTTTTTTTGAGTAAATGCTACTCCACTGACTCTTTCAAAACTGAAAACTTACAGGTCCAAGGTCTTCAGTTGCTGCTCCACATGTGGAGTTTTATAGTCAATGGCGTGATCTGCGCCCAAATCCTTGACGAATGAGAAGGCATCCTGGGAGCAGGTGGTTGTTACATGGGCTCCCCAGGCTTTTGTGAGCTAAAGAAATGCAATAGCTTGAGGTTAGTAAAGATTCTTTGGGCTATTACTGCAGCACGTTATCCTGGTTACAAAAACATTGTAAGTCTGAGAATCAAACTATTCAGCATGAAGTACAGTGCCGGTAATTGATCAGAAATCAATTCAATACACTGAACACAAACACACACACACACAGTATAGGGTCACTTGCTGCCTAATCTCTACCAAACTGAGACCCCATCAACGTTTTACACAACAAAACCTGTGTTTTGTAAGAGACATCTTAAGAGGACTGGGTGGAGGAACACACGCATGGCATGATTTTGTTTTGTACAGAAAGACTCATCCCCTCAGTGCATTGCCTTGAACTTACTGCCCAAAATGAGTATACAGCAGTTTTTACCTGAATAGTAAAAGTGCCAACCCCTCCAGATCCACCAAGGATCAGAATCCTGGAATAAAGAAGTTAAAGTGCCCATTATTACAATATAGCAAATCAAATGCTGTACTTCCAAAAATTGAGTGTACCTCACTGATTAGCATTCCCTTCCGTCTCCTCACCCTGACCATTTCCCCCCTGCTCGGGTCCTCACCCAACTATCCAGCGCCTTGGGACGTCCTCCCGACGTGAAAGGCGCTCTATAAATGAAATCTTGTTGTTGTAGCATTTTAAAAATCTACATGTGTTAATAGATGCTCGGCACACATAGACAAATACAGGGTGTATTACTAAACATTTTAAGAAAATTTCCTTCAGTTAAAGAACACAATGACCTATATTGCCCTTCTTGCCCAAATTTACACCAAATTCGGAATATAAACTCTGGTATGGACTGGTTCGGCCGAGTGGACTGTTTATATTCTTTGTAAATTTAAGCCAATTAGCTACTCATCTCACAATTGTTCATGAACATTGCTGGCATAGATTAGCTGCAGTCTTTGCCTAAATAACAACATTCACTTTAATTTCTAATCAATTCTATTTTGTAACATTGTGAGATTATATGTGGTAACTGAGACATTTATTCTTATATGAAAGATGTGCATGAATATAAGTTATTATTATCATTTTTGTACAGCCCGAAGTTCTGACAATCAAGATAAAGAGCAAAGTGCTTCCTCAGTTTACAGTACATGTTTGTGTGATAGTCACACGTACACGCAGTTGGGTAAACAAACATTGTGCCAGCAGTGTCCTGACTATTCCAGTCTTTGCTCCAGGTGTCAGGAGGACAGGAAATAATAATCTTGCACTTGATAAAGCGCCTTAACACATTGTCAAAATGTCTCAAGGCACTTTACAGGATTTTTACTGTAAAGTGTAGTTACTGTGTATTTGTAGGCAAAATACTTGAATAATAATATTCCTTGCATTTGATATAGTGCTTTTCACGCCTTCTAGACGTCTCAAAGCGCTTCACAGAATTTGCTGTAAAGTGAATTGACTACATATTTGTGGGCGAAAAACGCGGCAGCCAATTGTGCACAGTAGTGTTCCACAAACAGTCGTGGATTGAAAATGACCAATTTATTATTGTTTTTGTTTTGGAGGGATTATTATTAGACGTGTGGAGTAAGGAAACTTGCCCAAGGTTTCGCCCTGCCTGGAATTGAACTCAGGTGTCTCTCTGTAGAATGTGTCTAAATGTAGAAATCTTAAAACTACATATTGCAGGTAAATGGCACACGCAATACCTTTTCCCTTTACAGTTGTCTTTCTTCAGTCCCGCAGTGTTCACCAGAGCTGACCATGCCGTCAGCGCCACATAGGGTAAAGCTGCAGCCTGGATGTGACTCAAACCTTTCGGCTTGTGCGATACCTTAAAACAAAACACATCTGGTGAATGGGGTGACTTGACATTCAATATTTTGCTTCTTTCTGTCCCTTTCAAAAATGTTCTTCTCCTACATTGTGCAGCATTAACTAGAAAAGGTGGCGGACAGTTGCCTAGATCCCTTTACCAATTCTGTAACCAGTCATTGGGAGGGACACAAAACAACCAGCCTGACTCACTCACCATTCACATTCTTCCTCCCCACCATGGCTGGGAGGGAGAAAGAATGTGAGAAGTAGGGGGTAGGAGCCCGTAGCCTCTACTTATCACTTTCTCCAATGGACATGGAATGGCCTAGACCAGAAATTCAATACATAAGATTTGCAGGTTTAGCACCACATCCCCCCACCGCCCTGTGTTATAGTTCACCCAAACATCAGTGGACTGTCACATCAGGGTTTAATTTGTCACGTTTGTCTCCAAGAACAGTTCACTACCTTCACCGTATATACTGTTTTAAAAAAATTTCAGATATTTCAACATGATAATGCGCTTTAAAATTATTTTTCTTCATTGTGTTTCCTCCTTCACTCTGATAACAGCCATGTCAGCTCTCTCTGCCTATACCACTGGAGTACAGTCACACTGAAGCAAACTTTGTACAATGTACAGTGCCCAAACCCACATCTTTGTTCACTGTTGGCACAAGTGAATCACTCAATTAACATTCTAACAATGAAAGTGTTTTCAGTGCAATTTCTTGTCCAGTGAGCGAGCACAGTCTGATTACAAGTTAAGGTGTTTCTGATGGTCACAAAAGGCTTGAACCTCAAATCACAAACCCAACCAGCTGGGTTAAAGGAGAGGCACAGATCCTGCTTAGGAAGAACTCTTGTGATTCTAGCTCTGGATCAACAGCTCTTGTGAATCCCTCTGTTTATGAGAGCTATTATTTAAGCCCAGGAAACTCCATGTTTTACAATATTAGCATGAAAAATGTTCAAAGCTCCCACAATGAGTAATTGAGGTACAAAGCTTGATGTGGGTGAGTATGTGTGCAATGGAGTTTTGAATGAACTCACAGTGGGCCCTTTTTCTTCATTCTCAGACTAGTTTTCAGAAAACTAAAACATTTATAAAATTATGAGTACACACCACTTTGCTGTCCATTCATTACAACAGAAACAATAGGTAAAGAAAGGGGTTTCAGGTTAATGCCCAAAGCACTGTCAATTGTACCTCATTTGCACTTGCCACAACAAACTCTCCCAATGTTCCCTGTTTCCAGGGTGGGATCGCTGCCCAGACCTGAAAGAAGAAAGAAAGGCATTTGAATGTTCAGGTGCCAAAAAACTGCTTCTACGAATGATAACAATCCTTGAATTTGATATAGCACTTTTCACATCAGGAGAATGTTTTAAAATATTTCAAGAATTTGCAGTAAAATATGCTAACTGTGCATTTTGGAGGCAAACACAGCAGTCAATTTGCCTGCAGCAATGTCCCACAAACAGCCACAACATGAATGACAAGTTTTATCTGGCAGAGGAGCTGAAGGTTCGGCCACTGATGGAGCATGAAAGGAGCTTATACATGGTGGAACTACGGAGGATTACATTGTAAAAGTCTAGTTTGGAGATAATAAAGGCTGAATGAGGGTTTCAGCAGAATTTGGTGTGAGATAGGCATGTAGGTGGGCAACATAATAATACTTTGAATTTGATATAGCACCTTATCATTGTTGAGACATCACAAAGCGCTTCACAGGAATTTCTGTGAAGGGACTGTGTATTTGTAATCAGCCAATTTGCACACAGCAATGTCCCACAAACAGTCATGAACTGGATGACCAATTTTATCTGCATAATTGTTGCCCTTCTGTTTTTGAGTAGTGCCATAGGATCTTTAACCTCCACCTGAACAGGCAGACAGGACCAAAGGATGGTACCTCCCACAATACAGCAAACCTCTAACAATATACTGGACTGTCAGCCTCCACTATGAGTTCTGCCAAATGAGCCAGGCTGACAGAATCCTCACGTTGTCACTGCAGCACTCAAACACTTCAATGCTACAGTCACTTCTAGTTAGGGCAGTTTTATCTTCTTTCAGAGCAGAGATCTTACAAACCCTCACTACTGATCTTAATCTCTCCTGTTCAGTCAATCTGAAACTAATATCCCCACAGCAATGGCTCGGTGCTCACATAAGGTAAACTTCTGTTGCCCGTGTCAAATGTTCAGACCTCAGTCTAGGCTCAACTCTTCTGAGTCTGCAAAAACAGCATCAATCAGTGGCAGAGAACAGACCGAAACCACCAGGACACACTCAGGTGCCAAACATTCCCGCTGCATCATCTATCTGAAGATCAACCTGTGGTGCATTCATTTTTCTTCATGTGGGTGACATTGGCTGCCCAAGCTGCCTGAACAAGCAGGTGAACGGTGCGGTCCTGGGCCTTATGCTGTTTACAATGTGGTGTGACTTCATATACCAATGGCAGTCTCATGAGCATCTTATCGAACCTTCAATTCTGAAAGACTAGGGCAGTATGTGTTAACCTGCTGCCCACCAAACTGAGACTTATTTGTTCCGTCATGCCAGTTAGTGCAGGTCTGAGTTCTGTGAATGTCAGGGAAAGACAAAGACATATCCAGAGGGCAGAAGCTCCAGGATACAAGTTCCTAAAATTAATTTATTGTGAAAATGCCACCTTCCATCGGTAAGCTATTAAAAGCGCACATTCCTGGAACAAATAGTGGGCAGTGCCTCCGTGTATGGGGAAGGACTACAAAAAATTTGGGGCAGTCACTAGACAATAATTACTGTAATAATGACCTCAATGATGCCACAATCGATGGCCAAGCCTACCTTATCTCCAGGCTTGAAAAAAGACACATCCAGGCCAGATTCCATGATGACGCCTGATACGTCTCGGCCCAGAATCAGAGGAAACTCGCTCCCCGCGGGATTTATACTCAACGGATCGCGCCTCATGTTCAGTGTGGCAGCACCATAACCATCTTTAAAGAAGGCAACAAAGTACACAACTGTAATGCTTGTAATTCATATGGCACTTCACTCAAAGAAAGAAGATGTTGTATTTCAAACACTGAGCGGTTATTGCTGCACCACAGTATAGGACGTAGGTTCGATGTCTAATCGCCCACAAGAAGCTCCAAAACTCATGTTGCTCTGGATGAAGGAGAGAATCTGTTTAGTACAGGGCAAGGATTGTCAACTTGTTGAAAGGACCACAGGCCTTGGCATACACCCCTCATGGTGCATCTCCCAATCAAACTGGAACTGGTAGTAGTAAGCAGTGAGCAAAAGCAAAATTTTCCCCAGTGGAAGAACAGAAAGAATATTGGCCTTCGCCAATGTTTTGGGGGACAGACAGATGTCTGTCACATGCAGAAACCCATCACAGTGCTTCAAGTATCCAAACCAAACTGAGTATTCCATTTATCCCATTTATCCCACCTATCCGTGGAAATCCCAGAGATAGATTGTTGGAATGGAATGCGCAATTTCAACCCATTTATTCCCCTTCCCCTCCCCTGCTGGTATGTGGCTTAAAAGAACAATTAAAAGAAATATTTTAAACATAGATCCAACATATAATAATATATTATAATAATAATCCTTGCATTTGATATAGCACCTTATCACGTCACTGAGACGCTTCACAAAATATACTGTAAAGTGAATTTACTGTATACTTTGGTCACTTCAATCCACGACTGTTTTTGGGACACTGCTGTGCGCAATTGGCTGCTGCATTTCGCCCACAAACATACAAGTATACAGTCAATTCACTTTATAGTCTATGCTGTGAAGCGTTTTGATATGTCTACAAGACGTGAAAAATTGCTATATCAAATCCAAGGTTATTATATTTATTACTTCTACCTCTTTCAAATAAAAACATGCTTGCCAAACATTTTTTTGTAAAGACCAAGCCCCTTTAAAAAGGTTGAATAAAGTAATCAGTTCCAAGATCATTTATTATAATAATCATTGCATTGATATAACTTCTGTAACATCAAAATGTCATTTGCCAACTCCCCAGACCCCCTACAATCCAATCTTGCAATGTTAAATCAATCAATAATTTGTAACTTTGAAAAATACACAAACAATAGTTTTTCATAGGGTATGAGAGATTAAAGAAAAGGGTTATTACCCCACATAAATAAACTTACTTCTCATTGAAATATCAATAGGGTTTAAGCTGGAAGCGTGTACTTTGATAATAACTTCATTTGGGTAATGTACAATTGGAAACAGGGTACTTTTTGCAAAGCGCAACACATTATTATTTCCATATTTATCTAACACCCAAGCTGGCATAAGAGTCTGCCTGCAAGGAGAGGTACAAATCTTTCTGCAGATATCATTCTGGAAAATGTTTTCTCGAAGTGAAATATCTGCAAAGAAAACCTTACTACACACTCTTCTGCTGGCTGACTGCAACATGGGGGAGAATATGAGTGACAACTAAATGGTGAAACTGCAGATCTTATAAACCCTTGAAAACAATTTGAATTCCGCTATCTAAATCAAAAAAGATAATAAAGTGCCTAATTTATCTAAGATCATACGTGAAATACACAAAAGTTGTCAGGAGAAATGTTTACATTTAACACAGAACTTAAAAGTGCAAAAGGGCTATGCATTAAACGCAATATCCTATGTTCCTTAATAATGTTAAAGTGTTTGCATGGCTCCACTCTTTCTCTCTCAGCTTTCCCTTAGTCTATCTCACTCTTCTCTCTGAGTGTGTGTGTCTCTCTCTCTGTCTCTCTATCCTTGTCTGTCACTATCTCCCT